TAGAACAACGGGGGTCCTGCACCTCGGGGCCTCTTCCCAGGGTTGTTTCTCAGTTAACCCTCCTGTCCTAAAAATCTGAGGACAGAAATTTAACTAATGATTCCAGCAGGAAAGTCCCTGACATTAGGCTGAGTTTCATTTGACCTGTATTCACAAATCAAAAATCCTTCTTTAGAACTTTATTTCTTCTTCTCAGAAATAGTTCAAAGCATTTGGAGAAGACAGAAGCCAAAATCAAGTCTGAAAAATGCCACAGACTCACTCTAAAATATTCCATTTTTCTCCTGAGATTTCCACTGTTGCTTTCATAGTTTGTCAAGCAATCCCGCTTCAGATTTAGCAAAGTATCTGCAGTTCTCATTCATCACAAGTCTCAGAACTGAAGCACTCCAGCTGCTCTAGGGCTATACCCTTAAATGTGGTCTTGCTGTGATGTTATACTTGCCTGTTGTTATGACCTTGGCTATTTTTGACAAAGATATAAAGATGAAATAGGCTCTTGCCCTTAATGGGAGTTTGCACAAAATATCCTTTCCAAAGAAAACTATGTTATACATATGTGCACATTACTGATCAGCCCATGCTAGACAGCAATATTATAATCTGTTTCTCTCCCCCAGGTGACATAGCATGAAGAAGCATCGTTTGGTTCATTAAGCCCACATCCCTTTAATTACACTTTGGGCAAGTAGTGTATTTTCTGCTGAAACCAACAGCAAAGCAAATATTTAAGAAACACTTTAGTTTTTCATTACATCTTCTGTGTGTGTTTATTTTGAAATTTCCCAAATGGGCACACAAAGTTTTGGCAGATTCTTGCTTGTAGGTCGCAGCTCTTGCTCTAAACTTTCCTTTTCCTACCTATCCATCATGGTTCCATGACATGGTCTTTCTTTTAACCAGAAAGAGCTCTGTGATCTTCCCCACATTGAAAAATGTTCATTAGAGTAAAAATACCTTTCAATAATATGGCCTGATGAGTTTCAGCATTTTAAAAGAAAGACTGCCCATTCTTTATAGGGACCTCATCCAAAGCCTGATGAATTCAATGAGAGACTTTCCTTAGATTTCACTGAGGTCTTTCTAGTAGTTTCTTCAAAACTGACTCAGTAACATCCTTAAGCTCCTGCTTAGTTTAAAACAGATGAAAAGTCCTACTCATATGTCAAGTTAAGGATATGCTTAAGTGCTCTGCTGGACTGGGGCCTAACAGCTTGCAAATACAGATGGCCATTATCAAGACCTAGAAAAAGGCCAGGTAACCAACAGTCAATTATTCCTACCAGAACTTCAAGCCAGTATATCATACTGTTTGAAGTTAATTGCTTTGAAATAATTGAACAGGTGAACAGGTAAGCTCACATGGAGCATTTCCCATTTTCCTTTGTATTAAAAAAAAAAACAGTGCAGATTGCATGGACAAAACGGGCGTGATATTAAAAAAAAAAAAAGTTAAAAGGGAAGGGATAAGGTATGCGTTTTTTAAAAAGATTTTTCTTTTTAATGATGAGAAACATTTTTTACCATCATTAAAACCTTGAAAAACATTCTATTCCACAACTTCTTTAGTTAATACCTCATTACTTCCCTTTTTATTGTTATGGTAATCAAGCCTTAATATATTGCAGCTTTATAGCATGAAATCAAGGCTAGGCCTGCAGGCATCGACAGATGTACAACAGCATGCAGTAAAGCACAGGTACAGAGGCATGGAGAGCTGAATATGGCACAGGGTTTTTTTGTAATTGTTTAGCAATTCATCTGAAGTTGTTTTAACCTTGACAACAGATGAACTCTAACACATAGTATGATCAGTCACTGGGAAGCTGCAAAGAAAAGCAAGTTTTGTGATTGCTGTCTTACAGGCTGAGTTTTATGAGAGCATGAAACAAAGTCTGAGAAAGATGCTTAATTTGTCTGGATGACTACAGGCTGTAGCTGTAACTATTCAAAACATTTAACTGAATATGTTCTAACCAAGGGAGAATGGTAATGCTGGGGAACTAGATTTAAGATCAGAATCTTGCCTCTCTGTAGGAAATCTGTGCTCAGTGTCAGAATTCATAACCTCTCCTGGCATAGCCAGTCTTTCACGTGCACCAAAAAAGAACAATGGTTGGGCCTGACTGTTGGTTTTTAAGTGACACCTGGACCTTGTGCTGGAAACTCTGCTCAGGGTTGAATTTCACCCTTCAAACCACACGGTTTTTAGAAAGTTATAATGGTCTGGTCTGCAGTGTTGAAATACCATCTCCAAGAGAGTGAGTATCCCTAGATCTTTCCAAAATAAACAAAAGTAGATGATCCCCAGTACCAGGTAAGTTCCAATTCTCAATACTCTTCTCAGGAGAGATCATTCAAGAAAAAACTATAGCACCTCTGAGATTTTCTGAACGTAAAAAGAACGTTTTGGCTAGCAATCTCTTTCCCAGTAAAATAGTTTCAAAAAGCCAACATTAAAAGCAATATGCCTGTGATTTTATCTATAAAATTACTGGTACAAAGGTCCATACAGCAAAGCTCTATGGTCCCATAGGAAGCGGATGGCTTTCATACAGCCCACAGCTTCAGTTTTCCTGGAGCACAGCCCCACAAGACCAGCCACTCAGAAACATTCAGCAAATGTTATTCATTTGTCACTGCAAACATGCATATCTCATAGTAACTACTTAGTGTTAATGAAGTAACAGGAAGAAAGTTGGCATAAGTAATATATTAATCCAGTAAAAGTGAATACTACTTTCCGTATTATTACTGGATAACAGTAAGACATGAGTCAACATGTGGATCATCAATATATCTGAAAATCCTGGTCAGTCTCAGTTAGGAAAAGGCTCCTAATTTCTCTTTTGGAAACACTCTGAGTAACAAATATACTGTATTCAACCTATATCTATTCCACACCTGTTCATTCAAACAAAGTCCCCTAAAAATAAAGAGGCCAGTCATCCAAATTTTTAGTGTCTAGCATAAAGGTGAGTACCTTTCTCAGATGCGGTAAAAACTAACTTCTGTGTGGCCATTCACATTCATAAGCATGTTTACTACACTTGAGAGTGGTAAGTGCTTGTCAGAGCAGACCTTAGGACAAGAATGCTTGTTGCACAGCATATAACAAATGGAATGAAAGACAATGGATACTATAGTCCAGAGAACACACTAATTATATTAATAAAATGAAAGCTTAAATTTTGAAGCTAATCCTGGGCTATCATTTATAAAAGTTAACAGGGCATATTTAATTTAGGAATTGGCTAAAGCTTCTCTTCCCACTGCTGAAACCTCATAAATGAAATATACTGGATTGCTGCCCAGTGCGGAAATAAAAGTTGTGAATAATGTTTCTATCTCAATCATTGTCAGTGCTTTAATATTCCTAATTACTTTAAAAAGCTAAATATTCAATACAGGAAAAACCTTCTTTTTCTTTTATCTTCACTTGCAAGATTAGTGCAGTTTTACAAGAGTCATGGGATAGATTTGGTCCACAAGGCTCATCTGTACAGTGACAGCTTATCCTTTACTCTCCATTATTACACGGAGTGGAGTACTTACTACTGTATGTGTGCATGCACGTGTGTATAATGTCATGTCTACATGTACATGTCCATGCTATCATAGAGTTTTCTTATGTTCTTATTTTTTGTAATATATCCAAATGGGTATGCAGAGTATAAATACTCACTGGCTGTTAGGTTAAACATATCTATTGTTAAAAATAACCAAAGGATAAAATAAGTTCGTGAGATTCTAGACAATACTTTACAATTGAAGGTACTATTTTTATCTGGATTTAAAAAGGTATTGATAGATAGTTATTCAATATCTTATGCTGCCCAATTTTTTCCCTTGTCTACCTATCAGGCAATCCCAAAATGCTACTTCAAACCCCAAAGCACCGCCTTCCTTTTCATTCTCCTTTCTCCGTTCTCTCTCTACTGCCTCTTCTGCTGTAACTGGGGAGAGGCCAGCAAAGCTGTAGATGGAACACCAGTAACTTTCTTGAGCAAATTCCACCCTACTGACCTCAGCCTCTAGAGCTGTTCACCCCAAGTCATATTTAACTACTGTCCTCTTCAAGACTGTCAGTATTTCTAATGTCTCTCTCTATAGTTACTCTTTCTGTTATCTTTCTTCCTCATAACAATCGTATCTTTCTGCCTTGTAAAATCCCAGTCACTCTGGGAGAGAGGGAGGAACTAAAAGCAAAAGGAAGTGTTCATTCAGTAAATGACTCACAGCATCTTCCTAAATGCAGCTTTATTTACTCACCTGATGCACAAATAGACTTCATCTAACAAGTTTATTTCCATTGTGTCAGTACTGGATTGGGCCTACATTGCATAACCTCTCTGATGTTTATACTGGAAATAATGCCAGCTCCTTAGCATGAACTAATCACACAGACTTAACTTCATCTTTACCAATTAAAAGAGTGTGACATACACCGCTTCTCCAGCTGAAAGAAACGATAGCCTCCAGTGTGAACTAATTTCACAGTAAAATGTGCAGAAGTTCCACCTCTACCACCACCCCAACCTCTGCAGTATATATATCAGTGTGTGAATTTCAAGTCAGAGGGTGGAATCTAGGCTTTATGAAGAGTGAATGCTCTTCAATAGGACAAGGATTCTGTCTAGAAAATATGCTTACCACCAATGTATTTAATGAAGAATGTGACATAGTTAAGATCAGAGAGAACAATTTCATAATAGAGCTATATTATCCATATTAACATTCCAATAACAGGACAGAAAGCATCCAGAGCATCCCCCACTGCATTTAACGTTTCTTTATAAAAACAAGCAAAAAGATGAAAGTCATTATCACTTTATCAGTAGCAAAGGGACAGTATCACAGATTAATGGTTGCAAAATAACCAACTGACAAGCCTCATTGTCCATTTAAAGCATCCAAGTTCAGAGGCCACTGCTTTGTTTCAGGCTTCCGTTTTTCACAGCAGCATGTATCTTTAATACATTTTTGTAATTTTTACTCACCACTAGAGCAGTCAGTACCTCCCCACCCTGGTTCACAATGACAAGTGTCAGGAGAAACGCATCTTCCATGCACACATTCCTCTGTGCAAAGTGCTATTAAGAAGAAACAATACACAGCAGTGTAAATATATTAAGTGTTTGGTAAACATACATTAAGTTATGCCTTGGAGAGCAATACTTTGTTTAAAAATATTAAACAAAACAAACAAAACAAACAGAATTCCTTGCAAGATTTAATTAATACTAAGTGACCAAAATAAAGTATAGGTCTCTTGATAGCAATAAACTCACTTGTCAGTTCAGCTCTTTGTAATGAAAAACTCTAACACCAGAAACTACTTTGGTTAGCAGTTTTGCTTCATAATAAAATTTTAACCAAATTGACACTTATGATTACTATAATTAGAGAACACCAGCTTCTACTACACTCAAGTTGATACAGTTCATAAGAGAAAAGGGAGCTCAGCTTTAAAAGTGTATTAAGACGTAAAACAGATCTGTAAAAAAACAGCTCAAGGAAAAGAAATAACTTTACCACATGATGCTGTATCTGTAAATGCAGCCTTGTCTTTTCAAAGACATTAAGATTCCTTAACTACAGTGCTCTACATCTTATTTGTCCAGATTAACGAAAGCTTAATCTCCTCCAGTTTCAAAATATGAAAAACTGGCTGTTTTTTCTGTCCTGCTTGCCAGTTGACTAGAGATATACACGGGAAATCTCCTTTTCTTCTATCTAAGTAAGAACGGCTCATGTACAATTTAAGATATTTCTTTTTCTGTGCTGCTTTGGTGTCAGATTTACCTTCCTATGTATATTGGCATGCTCATCACATATAAACAAATCCGGACAACACTGAATAAGTACTGTAAGTATGGAACCTTACTGCTTACTACCTTTTAGGGCATTGCCAAAAACTCAAGAGTGTCAGTGATTCAACCTGGCTATTAATTTCAAACATTTAATTTTCATCTAGACTAACATGTTTAAGGTAATTACAAATATGATGTAGCAGCGATGAAATCACTATATTAAAAGGGTTCCTATGTTTTTATATCCTGTGTTTTTACATCAGATGGGAATCACGGGCTCTACGCTTGCTCATCTGAGAACCGGCTGAAGCTGGACTGCAAAAGATTTATTCCAAGACAAGGATGAATCCATTCCTTTCTTAACAAGGTCAATAAGGCTGATTTTGGAAGTGTCTTTGTGCTGCTGTACTGAAAACTAGGCTGAACCACCCAATTTATTTTAAATTAGCCATCAAATAACCATCCTAAAGTTACTGACCACTGGACCTGGATATGAAATAGTTGTTACCACCCTTTTACTTCCCACTCTTGTGCATTTGGCCACTGGCCACTGTATCAGGCACTGTTTGGACTACCATACTGGGTCACATCTTGAATCTACACTCAGGCTGGCATCAAGGTCAACGTAAACATTTCTCTACCTATTCCATATTTCGGTCACCAGAGAACAAACCTAGAAGCCTATTCATAATATATTTAAATCCAAATTCAAATTAAAAGTGATCTTTTTATAATCTTAACTGTGGGACAAACCTTCCTGTTCTTTACCAATCAAATTGCACGTGACCAGTCATTAGAATGTTGCCTCATTATAACGATGACAAAACCTTTCTAGATTAGTCATTCCCCTTCTAGGTTCTCCATATGTCAAAACTGCAATTTATTCTTATTTCATATCTTGTGTTTAGATAGTATTGCAGGGGGCATGAAATATTGATAGCTAATTCTCTAGTCTCTAATTGTCCTAATCTTTTGTGCATTTATTTTACTTGAGTTAGGGTTTCTGAAGATAGTGAGGCATCCTAGTCTACAGATGTAAGATTAAATTCAAGATAGGACATTAGAAAAATGGGATTTTTCCATAAAGAAATATAAGCCTCATGCAATCATTTAAAAATCGTTGGTCATCTACGACAAGCAGAAGTCCAAACTCAAAATAGCCACAAAGTTACAGGTTGATATCGAAGTACAGTGTGGTAAAAGATGTACAATATGCTGGGATATGAGTACTTCGTACTTTGCTCTGTAGAGCTTTACCTAAGAATATGATTCTCTTCTCACTGGTGTAACTCCTACAAATTAATTTTATTAGAGTTAGCAAAACTGAAACTGAGTTTTTTTCTGTTCCCTGAACGGACATTTACAATAATAGATCATTCCTTTATATGTAAAACATGCAATGTTTTTATCCCTTTAACCAGACTATACTCTTGGGTCAAGGCATAATTTGTGAGCAAGAAGGTTGATGGTGGACTATTTCTTTTCTCTTCCAAATAACAAAGCTCCTGCTCATTCTTGGTCTAAATTTAGTTGATTTAGTCCCACAGCCATAACACACCTCATCTTAACTATGCAACATAAGTATGAAATAATAATGATTAATTAAGGTAATAACATTTTCTTAATTACTTGTCTATAGACAGAAGTGCTGACTTCTTTAATAGCGCTCCAATTCCTTGGGAAGTGTTATGTAAAACTTGTAAGCAGAACTCAAGATCCTATTCCTCATTCTAAATCAATCAGTGATATATGAATTACAAAAAGTACTATAGAGAATTGCATCTTTGGTTTTAGGTGTTTTGAAGTCCCTTACAGTTGAAGGTGGCAATCTTTAACGAGCAATTAAAGCGTCAAGAAAAGTAAAGACACTCCCTGGAACTGTGGGTACGCTCATCTCTGGTTTATTAAACTTGCTAAACAAGTAGCTATGAACTCACTAGAATATACTCATTTAAAGCTATGAAATTACATAGGACTAACCCCATATATGGGGGTTATCCCCTTTTTGATAGAAGCCATTTTACTGTAGGAGGCAAATAATCAGACTCCTGCCACTGTCTGATTTGAATCAGGTCTATAAAGGTCCATATAAAGAACAGATTAGGGTACTACTCTGAAGCTTTCCTATGGCAAATACAATTTCAAATTTCCCCATATAAAAGGGAAGTCTTGTCTTGCTCTAATCTTTAGAGCTTAAATTAATTTTTCATTCTATTAACATTCAACATAATAGGATACAATGGTCCCCAAGGCATTCTTCATAATATACTTTGTACAGTGGCTTGCAAATGATCTTACTAGTTAATGGAACTATAAAAATTACTTGCACATAAAGGTCAAGAAAAATAAAGGTAAGTATATACTTTCTGACACTGTCCTGTTCAACACACAGCTAACAGCCCTGAGAGTAAAGAAAACTTGCACTAATGCAAGTAATATAATTCCTCCCAGTATAATAGCCCAAGCAGTTCAACCTTTGGAATTCTAGGCTTTTTACGTCTGCATTTTCCTCTGACCAATTCTCTTGAACAATCCAGCACCTCATTGATCAGATTATTATTAGCATTCTTGGCATGAGTTTAAGATCAGTTTGTAGTTTGATTCAGCCTGGTAATAAAATGACCTACATCAAAGCCCTGCCAAAATGCCAACTTTGTAGCAATGCGTTTAGCATGAGTTATTTCACCATATTCAAGGTCACACAACAGCTACTCCTTATCATGGAATAAAGTCAACAAAATGGTTCTGTAACAATTCATTTGCTGATTATCACCTACTCACTTTGTAATTACAAACTTTGTAATTACAAACTGTGCTTTTTTTTAAACATATGTGGCCAATCCTCAGTGAAATCTAGAGCGACTTTGTCTTCCTTGGTGCTGCATTCCTCTGTGTGTGGACCCAAACTATGATTCTGCAGGGTTTAATCCCATTGTATAACCCTATTTTATACATACTGTTATACTCTGCTTATCACTACTTTACCAACACATTGACTTCCAGTACTCCCTTAAGCAATGTAACTGACACCCGCCACAAATTGCCTTTTTAGTCTCTTTCCAGGAGTGAAAGTGCATTTAGAAAAGAGTTTCATTCTAGGAGAAGAATATGTAGTTTTTTAGCTTGGGAACGTTTCACTAGTTTGTCCAAAAATATAGCTTATGTATTTATTTCACAAAAGGCAGAGTCAAAAAAGATGTCTTGTGCTTGCAATGGAATATGGTAATGTTTACAGCGGTCCTTTGAACCCAGAGGAGTTCACAACCACTGATCCAACAAAGTCCCGATTCCCTCCTGCTTCAGCTTGTAGGACTTTGTTGTGCCAGAGAAGCAAAGTATCTTCAAAACAAAGATAAGTAAAATTACAAATTCTAAAGGAACCCAGGGGAGAAAGCAGAAAACAGGCCACATGCACTGCACTCATAGCAGTGTGCGCTCCTGAGGAGACAGGCTGGAGTGCTCTGTACTAGCTGGAGTTTCTGATTTCTGCAGGCTTTCTGCCCAGGGATTATAGTCCAGTACTGTAGCCCAGCCAGAAGGTGACGGAAAGCACAAATAACAGGAGCTATGTGATAGAGTGCTAGAACGCGAGAGACTCTCAAAGACAACTGGACATAACAGAAAACACCACTAGTTGAAGATATAGATGGTACTAGCAGAGAGAAATTCAAGCACTCTGCTGAACTACACGGAATGAACTAGTCTATTGTGACTGCACATGCGGCTAAAGGACGCAGCTCCATGACTGCAAGTTTTTCAAAATATCCTCCTTTTCTCTGCCCTACGTACAGCTTAGGTAGTCTCAGCCAGTTTTTCTCCATTACACACTGATCTCACCCAAACTCTGACCAGTTTAGTTTGTTTGCTGTGAACCAAAGGTAGACCTACATTTTATCTACACATTGCTAGTATTTGATTTCGGGTCATCTAACCACCTCACACTTTATCATTGTTGGACTCCACAGAGAAGAAATCTAATGGGCAAAGTGATGTTTTCCTTCGCTATTTAATAGCGGTCCCCTGAAACAATTTGGGCCATTTTATCATATTCTCCAGGTCCCGGGTGCCACTTTTAGGGGAAAGAGTATTTTTTCAGGTGAAGTAGCAGTTATTTCATGGTCAGTGGTTTCAGATAATGCAGAGAGGTCAAAGAAGATGAAGAAAGATGCTTGCCTCTTATCCATTATGAATCTATTCATTTAGGGCCACTCCGGTGGTTTCATTTTAATGTCCTGGACCGACTCCAGGCTGTGCTCAGTCTGGGATATTAGCTTCATTAG